GTCTTTGCTACATTGTGTCTTCTGTTCCATGAACATGATTTCATGTCTGTGTCTGGGTTATGAGCATTTCTTTCATCAGTGGTAGTGTTCGGGGTTTAGATTACAGTGTTTTAATTATTGCTTAGTACTTGATTTTGGGAGGTGAACTTTTTTATTAGCCCACGTGGCTCTATATAATGAATACATTCATCTTGGGGAGTTGCTTCATGTGCGTACCACACTTTAACCCTTCTTACTTCCCCTGCTCTCTCCTTTACTCCTTTATATCTAGATCCCCTTTCTAGTCACAAAAGATCTACCTCCCCATTTCCTGTTATCTTTTATTTTGCTCCTTGAATTATTTTTATTTTCGTATTTTTTATATAAGACAAACCATGTGATACTTAAGCTTGTGTATCTGAATTATTTCACTCAGCATTATGGTCTCAAGGTGCATCTATTTTCTTACAAATGACTCAGGTGCATTCATTGTCGTCAAGGGTACTGCATCGTGTGTGTGTACCACCTTGTCTTTACCCACTCATCTCTTCTGAGATTTAGCTGGTGTAAATGTTGGTATAAACTTTTATAAGTGGGATTTTAAATTTTAATTTCTTGTTCTCATTCCTAGTATGTATTTGTTCTCACTTTATTAGTAGTTGGAACTTTGATTCGGCCCACGGATCGATCCATGGGGTATATACCTGGAGAGGGAACGGATGATAAAACAGGGTGGGAGACAGAGATGGAGACAAGTTGAGGAGTCCAGTCAAGTCTCGTTTATTCAGGAAGTGGTCGGATCCTTTATGGGCCAAGGGCGGGCTGGTGGGACAGGAAGAGGCTACGGGGTGGTTTCTGATGGGTCATCGTCACGTCCGGGTATGTGACATAAGCAGGAGAGGATCATGGTTAATGTAGGTAGGCACATTATGTGCCCATAGGAGGGAGAGGTGGGGAGGCAGCAATGGGGCTGTTGTGCTGCTCCCTACAGAACTTTTTGTACACCAATTGGAATATTTTACCTAGGCAGTCGTCATTTGTGAATAAGAATTTTATCTTTTTAGCCTGTGTGCCTTTATTTTTCTTTTTACTGCATTTTAAGTTTTCTTTTTATTACATTATTAAACTGGTTAGGGCTTCTGATAGACTAGCACAGTATTTGGTAGGAGTGATCATCTTTGCCCATTTAGTCTTCAGGAGAAAGTATCTTAAACCCTAGTATGTACTGTGTTAACTGTAAGTTGCATGCAGAAATAGTTTATCACACTGGGAAATCACTACTCTAAGTTTGCTCAGAGATTTTGTTATGCATGGGTGTTTAAATATTTTTTCTACATAATCATGTGTTCATGAGAGTTTTCTTCTTTAGACTGTGAATGTGGTGGGTTACTCAGCCAACTTTCTGTTCCTGGGATGAACCACACTTGGCCATGGGGTGTCTTGTTGGATTCCATTGTTAATACTCTGTTGACTTTGTTGCTTTTATTTGTGATGAATATTAGTACTATTTTTTATTTTTAATTTTCTGGTTTTGTTATCTGAATAATGTTGAACCCATAAAATAAACTTGAGAATATTTCTTCCTTTCCTGTTTTCTCCAAGAGATAATATATAATTGGTGTTATATTGTTGTTTTGTTTTGAAATATTTCTTAGTGAAACTACCTGGGTCAGGCAAAGTATTTTTTAAAAGATTTTTTACTACATAATCATCATATTCAAGAGAAATAGACTATTCAGATTATCTCTTTCATCTTGGATCTGTTTTGGTGGTAATGGGTAACACTTCAAGGAGTTGGTCCTTTTCACCTAAACCATCAAATTTACAGAGTTATTGCTGAGTATTCCCTTTTTTCTGTGTGTTTAAATATTCTTACAGTCTATAGCTGTATATTTATATATTCTTATACAGTCTATAGCTGAGTAACCCACCACATTTATAGTCTAAAGAAGAAAACTCTCATGAACACATGATTATGTAGAAAAAATATTTAAATATACAGCCTATAGCTGTATATTTAAATATTCTTTACAGTCTATACAGTCTATAGCTGTATCTTCTCTTTCATTCCTGACATTGGATTTTCTTTTTTGTTTTGTTAGAAATTAATTTTACAAATTGTGTTGACCTTTACAATGAGTCACTTTTAGTTTAATGGTTTGTCTCTATTTTCCTGTTTTCGATATTTTTTATTTCATTGACTTCTGTTCTTTTGATACTTTGTATTCTTTGGTAGTCTATCTGTATAAAATTTATTTACATCCAAACCCATTTTTAGTTTCTGTATGAATTTATCTACTGACTGGCTCAAAAACATGTTTAAAAAATCTTTGTGCCTACTGAAAATTTTTGTGTGTGTCTGTCAAGTTTATGGAGGATAAGTCATAACCATGAAATACTCTTATGAATTTTGATGGGCATATGCAGACATATTATATGTAATCACCACCACTATCAAGATACAGAATAGTTTCATTACCTCCCAAAATAAACTTTTGTGGTTTTGGTTTTATTTCTTTTGGTGATTTAACATTGGTAAGATGGAATATTTTTAACATTAGTGAAAGTCGCAGAACTTTTTAGAGCAGAAATTCTGTAGTTCTTTACTTTGTACACTGTAGTTATTTATGCTGTACTTCATTATAATCAATAGCTAGTACTCATCATTAGAGAATTAACTCATCTATTAAGACTTACATGTAAAGAATTATGCAGACAAAAATTACGTTATGGAAGATTATTTAATGACAGCTAATTACAGTTTTTCAAGTGCATAAAACAGTATGTTAAGACTTACTAATTAGTGGTTTAAAAATTATCTTTGTACCCATAGAAAAATCACTGGAAAATATGTTCAAATATTTAGTAGTGTTTTCTTATGCTTGAATATGAAGGTTTGGGGTAATGTTCTTCTTTACGTTGTTTTGTATTGTTCTGATTTACTACAATGAACATATATTATTTTAGTGTTTAGAGTATAGTTTTTCATAAAAAGATTAGCTCTTGCTTTATTTTTAAATAATATTTTAAAGGTAGATGTTCTGTTTTATAGCTGAATTTTATTGTAATTTGGTTTATTCAAATACTTGAATTTTTCTATGAATATATAAATTTATTCAGAGATGAGCCTTTTGTGAACTGCTTGCTTTCACCTTTTTTGCACAGAATTTCTTCTAAATGTAGTATACACCCACCCCACCCCCGCCACTGCTTGCTTTTCTGTGAAATGATCATGAATTTACACTCAGACTCTTTGCCAGTTTGGGATCTCCCTTCAGGTCAGCTTCATCTTTGGGAGGAAGTGTTTGGGGGAAACTAACGAGTTGCAGGGTTGGGACTGGTTTTCCGCTAAGCCTGGAGTATGGCCAGTGTCCCCGTTATCTTCCTTTCCTGTCATCCTGCGAGTTCTTTTTGTTTCTCTCCAGGGTTATAGCCCCAATTTCTTGTGTTGCACGTCTGTCTTTTCTTGCCTTATTCCTTCATGTCAGTGAAGAGCGTAATCTAGGCTTTCACTGAGAGCGGGAGGTTAGGTCTTTAAAATATAACAGGTTGGAAATTATTTGCTCCAGAATTTTAAAGATGAAACTCAGCAGTCTTTTAGTTTTCTGTAAGAAATTTAAGTCAGTCTGATTCCTTAGCTTTTGTGTGTGGCCTGCTTTTCCTTTCTAAGTTCGTAAGATTTTCTCTTTGTGTTTGCTATGAAATTTCATGAAGATGCAGTGCTGGTTGCTGGATGATCTGTGTCAGTCTAGATGTCCCTGTCCTCCGATATTGTCTTGGTCCATTTTCTGCGGCTCTCACAGAAAGCACAGAGTACGCAGTTGATAAACAGTAAATGCGGGTTTGGCCTGTGACTGTGGAAACTGCAGCTCCTGGCTGGTGCTGGCACCAGGAGCGGCCCTCATTCTGCTTCCACCTGGGAGAGCTGGCTGGCAGATAGGAAAGTCCAAGGGGCACTGAAGTCATTTTTACAGCAACCCGCTGGCGGGGTGAGGAACCCACTTCCAGGATAATGTTAGTCCTACCTGATCATAACACCAATCATTTTTCACTAGGTTCTGGCTCCGAGCACTGTTGCACCGCAGGTGGGGTTTTTAGCGCGTGAGCTTGGGGCAGACTCAAACACAGCTTCTTTCCTTTTTTTTTTTTTTTTTTTTTTTTTTTGAGACATTCTTTTACTGTGTTTCCCAGGCTGTCTTCAAACACCCAGTATAAGTGATTGTCCTGCTTCAGCCTCCCAAGTAGTTGGAAGTATAGCTGTATACCATCATCACCCATTACTACAAATGTTTTTTCATTATTTCTTTTTCTGTTTTCCTTTTTTAAAAAAACTACTGCTATTTGAATGTTGGTCTGATCAGTCTTTTCTCCTGTTTTATATCTTTTTACCTTATTGTTTGTGAGATTTTTCTCATTTGTCTTCCAGTTCATCTGTTGAAACATTTTTTTGCTGTCATGTTAATTTCCAACAAATCTTTTTTAAAAGCACAGTGTTCCTATTTTATGATCACTTGATGCCACAGGATCACCATTTTATCTGTTACCTCGACGTGGCTTACCTTTTAATGCAGAGCTGGAGGTTGAACCGTGGCCCTAGACAAGTACTGTCCTCCTGAGCTGCTCTTCACCCCGCAGTGCAGACACTAGCACTGACCTCTTTGCAGGTTGTCCTGCTTGTGTGTTATTTCTGGTCCCCCCAGGCTCTTTATTTTTGTGTGCTTTGTTCTTTGTGTTCACATTGGAGAACTTTTTTTCAGGTGTCTTGTAACATATGACTATATAAAGAAGGAAAAATTTTTCTTCTGTTTCCTTCAGATTTTGTGAACTAGGCTGACCAAACAAACAAAAAACCAGACTGACCTTAGAGAAGCATGCAAATGTTACTTAGTGTCAATACTTTTATATGGTTTGCTGGGGCTTATAGGAAAAAAGTGAAAACTCCAGAAATGCCATTGGGCTCCAAGTCTTGTGTGTACCATTTTAATAAAGGGCAATCAGTGATAGGGAAAGGGGTCTGGGCCTCTAGGAGCAGTAAGTTGAGGGAAAGATACTAGGAAATATATGGGGGAACCTAATGGAAGATGAGGGCTATTTTAGTAAAGTTTGTGCGAACTCATCTGCATATCAGCTCCCCATTTCTGGGGATAGGGATGTTCTTTTCTGGCACCAGGGATGGGTACCTGCCTCATGGGGAATTTATTTTTGATTCTAGGCAGAAAAGGCAAAGACAGAGCCCTTCCCACATCTGCTGTTTCTCAGTTGCCTTCGACTCAAAACACCAGTATGCCAAAGTGACATTTTGAAGCAGCGTGTTACAATCTCCTTCAGCTGTCTGTTGTTGATTCAAGAGTAAGGGACTAAACGTTGACTGGTGGCTGTGCGTGTGGCTGAGACTTGTTGATAGTGAGTCTCTCATCGTAGGACGATACTGCTGGAACGTGTCATTGGCCGACTCCAAGTTGCCAACAGGTCTTTCTTTAGCTGGTTGGGTTTCCTAGAGAAGACGCTGCCGTATTCCGGCTGCACTTTCTTGGGAGATGAGTGGATAAAGGATGGGGATTGGAGAGATGGATCCTAAGCACAAGTTTACTTCGTCCTCATGTCAGCAGGGTGATTCTCATTGTTCACTCTGATTTTACCTCAGGCTTATATTGACCTGCTTTATTTTGATCTCTTTAATGGTTCTCAGACAGAAGCAGAGACAGGATGTTTGGAATTGCCTTTGATTTGACGTGGAGACTGTTGGCTAGAGATACTAAAATTTTTGCAATGTGATGACTGTAGGAGAAAGAGTTGCTTCATCCAAAATGTCAATTGCTCCCCTTTTTGGAAGCAATACAGTCTAACTTAAAGCAAATTTCAGAATCAGTTAAAGCTAATTACCAGGTACTATTTTTTTACTTTACTGTTCTCCCTTAATTCATGTTCATATGATTCTAATTTTAATAGTATTTGAAGCTGGAATTCCAAAGAATTCAAGTAAAAGACTAGTTAGGTCACTGTAGAAGTCCGAATAATAGTTACTGGCGGCTTCAGGGTAGACTGGTAGTTTTAGTGGAGAGAAACGGGATGCAGGATATGTTTTGCAGGAAGGGTTTATAGGATGTAGAGATGGATTAAATATGAAGGAGTAAGGAAAGGGAATAATCAGAGGTGTTCTGAAGTTTTCTCCTGAGATAACTAAGTGAACAAGTCGCTTGTTGAGCGGGGGATTAGAGAAAAGAGCCAAGCCTGTATTAAGCATATTAAATTTAACATACCTGTGTCTGGGCCCAAAGATAGTGCTGAGTTTTCTTAAATATCCACCACCTCTTTAGAACAAAGTGTTAATCAGCTCTCATTCAGGAAACATGGATTCTTTAGCTGTATCCCTCCCACCTCCACCTGTTGTTGCCACTCAGCAACCTTATTTGTTGAGGACTTGGAGATGTGCCTCACGCCTCCACTCCCTGTCACTACAGCCTTGGAGTGGCTATAGCTGTTTCCCAGGTCCTGTCCTCAAGCTTTTGGCCGTCAGCGGTGACAGTACCATACAGTGCTTTTAAACCCTCCCTCAGTGCCTCCTAACTATGTACTGTGAACACAGTGCTTCGCTTTTTGTGTCTTGTTTTCCTTATTTGTAAATTGGGTATAATACTATATATGCATTTGTGGTTTTGTGAAGATTAGGAAAGCAGTGATTACTAATTACTAATGCTGGCACAGAGTAAGTATTCTATAAATGTAAGCTATTAAGATTATTATTATTTGAATATTACTTAATAATGTATGCTACTACTATAGTTAAGCAATAGCTTGAAGCTTACCCCCAACTCTTAAATTTTAAGTGCCAAAAACTGTATACACACCAAGATTTCATTGTGGTTCAGTAGACTTCATTTAAAAAAAAATAAAAAACAGCGTTTAGATTTGGAGGTTCTTAGAGACTCAGGCCCTCAGGTGTCTGCTGCGCAGTCGCCCCCCTCCTCCCGCTTCCTCTTCATCACCTCAGCAGGCTTTTCCTCCCAGCCCTCCCTCCCACCCGCACTCTCGCTTTAGCTCTGGAAATCCCTACCTTGGGGAAACCCAGTCCAGTGGCCTCTGACCAGGGCTGCTGAAAGCTGTACTTTGTGGGATTCTTTGTTTTGTTTTTAGCAAGGTGAGGCTCATTCGTGGCGCATTTTGGCTCTTACTTGTTCACTGCTCACCTCAGAAGGCTGACTGTACATGAGGCGGAAGGAGAGTGGCTCTTTTGATCACTAAGATTCCTAAAGGGACTTTGCCGTCCTGTAATTCTACTGCACAGGATCTCATTCACTTTCACATGTGTTTGAGTGTTATAAATGAGAAAACTAAGGCAAAAATGATAAAATAGAGAAAATTATGGGATTATATGAAACAGACTTTCTTTACATACTATTTTATAGATCAGCACAATGGTTTCAGCAGCACAGTTTTAAACAGTTTTTCATGGATGGTTTTTATTTTCTTTCTCAGATATGATCATTTTTAATCTATATCTTTGGATACATAATTTAGAGTGTACGTGTATAATAGGTGAAAAATCTTTACCTTTCTTCTTTAATAAGAATTTTAGATTCATTACAACTGGGAGACTTTCAGTTTTGATTCAGGTGTCCTTTCATTCCCTTAAAAAATAGTGAACCTGACCCAGTTCTTTTCTTGAGAATTCGTCTCAAAGAACAGTGTGTTAGAATATTTTTGTTCTAATCAAGTAGAATATAAGAACTGGCAGGTGTCTGTAGCTTCTGTTGTTTAAGGTGAGAACAATTTTGTTCCTTGGTTAAGATTAGCTTTATGAACTGTTCCTCCTCTGTGATGCCCTCTGCTCTGCCACCTGGCTTTGGAGCCCCCTGATTATAAAATGAAACCTCTACACACTGTGAGCTCCTTTAATTTCAGCTGTTGGGTATTTTGTCTCAGCAACAAGGAAAAGTAAAACATAACCCTCTAATGGAAACAGAAAAACACATTCACCATTTGTCATTATTTTTTTTCTTTCTGTACTAGAAAATGAACCCAGGGCTTTTGTATTGAGCTGGACTCCAACCCATTTTTTAAAATGGTTTCTCTAAGTCACTAAGTTGCCCAGGCTAAGCTCAGACTTTGCAAACCTTCTGCATCTGCTTCCAGAGTGCTGGAGCCAAACTTTCCTTTACTGCAGCCTCCGCTAAATGAATGGAGAATGTAATACACCCAGGCCTAGGCCATGCAGTGGAAAGCATGTATGCAACAACTAAAAATAAAAATAAGCTCTTTTAAATACAAAATGTATCTCATTTGTCTTATATAATATAAATTAATAAGTGTGACTGGCTTAAATATAAAAATGTAAATGAATTTAGATCCCTTTTTACTGGGTTGACTAACGTATCTGTTGCAGTCCACATGCACCCAGAATTTGTTAGTCAAGTTACAATGAGGTCATGTGGTCCTTAACTCTAAATCCAAGCTGACTGACACCCTTTTGATTTTGTTTTTCTTGAGTTAGAGTCTCCCTGTGTAATCCAGGCTGTCTTTGAACTTGCTATCTACCCCTGGCGACCTCAAACTAATGATCCTCCTGTCTTAGCCTCCCAAGGGCTAAGTTTACAGGCGTGTGCCACCACACCGAGCTGGCTGGAACCCTTTTAAGAGAGAAATTGGGACATGGACACAGAGGAAGAACACCAGGTGATGACAGAGGCAGAGACTATAGTGGTCTGATTATAAGCCAGGGGCCTGACAACCCTATCAGAAGCTAGGAAGAGACAAGAAAGATTGCTGCCGAGAAATCATGGCTGCGCTAATGCCTTGACTTCAGAATTCTGACCTACAGAACTGTGGAGAGTAAATATCTGTTCAAGCCGCCTAGTTCATAGTACTGTTATGGTACTCTTCAGAAATTAATGTAAGGGCCGGGGATATAGCTCAGTGGCATAAGCACCTGCTTGGCAAGCACAAGGTCATGAGCTTGATCCCTGTTACAAAAAGAAAGAAAGAAAGAAAGAAAGAAAGCCCCCAAAACGAAAAAGTTTCACACTCTTATTGGGTAGTCAGGTACTGTTTGTGGGCCAGGAATTTAGCTCAGTGGATAAGCACCTAGCTGGTAAATGCAAGGTCCTGAGTTTGATCCCTGGTACCAAGGAAGAAAGAAAGAAAGAAAGAAAGATAATGCCCCACCTCCAGCTTTCCCATCCTTTCCCCTTTCCATGATATTTCCCCAAAGTTATACTTTTTCTTATCAAGTACAGGAAAAGAACTGCATTATACTTCTGTTATTCAGAAAATTTTAATGTATAATATATGTTTTTAGTGTTCATTTCTAAATATTTTCAAGGTAAAATAGTATAATTATTAAGAGTTGGTTTAACACATATTTTATTTCTTAACCAGAATTTAGCCTAGACTTACTTTCAAACTACATGTCAGTTTACCAGAACTCACACACCATAGAAATTAAAGTGAAACTCAAATTTTTAATCAAGAGATTGTCCTAATACAGTAATATATAGTCATTTTGAATTTGCTGCAACCCAAACTTTATTCAACAAAACTTAATATACATGGCATTCTTCCCTTGGAACATACTTCAATCACTGTTAAAAGTTGAATTGCTAACAAAAGTGAGAGAAAACTTACAAAGGAAGAGCAGTTTATTTTTTATATTAAGTAGTTACTTAATTTCAAAGGACATGCTTACATCTGTGGTCTATGAAATATAATAGTAGCATTCATACCCAGGGTAGGGTGCCCTTAACCCTACCTAGAACTATGTCAAATCAATCGATGGCTGACTTAGTAGTCACACACCCTTAATCTCAGCATCACACTCCTCATCCAGCCACCTCTGAGAAGCCCCACGTATGATCGCATGAGGGTTTAGGCATCTTCTAGACATAAGCCATAACAGCTTGTCAGCAGGACTGTGATTTTATGGAAAGTCTATACAAAGTAAATGTATTCTCCTCTTTTTAAGAACACAGCTAGTAGTGTCCTTCACACTGCTCTAGACTCTGCTTTTGTTGTAGTGTGTAAGTGCTATGGTTGCATGGTAGCCCATTGCATAGATACGTCATAACTCAGCTACTCTTCCCAATGATGAGCAGCATTAATAGTTTTGAGTTACTTCTCCAGACTTTTAGGTACATTGGGTAGTCAGATTTCTGTTGCTGCAACAGAGTACCTGAGATAAACAATTTGTAAGAAGAGGCTCATTCCGGCTCATACTTTCAGAGGTTTCAGTCACAATCACCTGGCTCTGTAGCTTTGGGTCTGCATTGGGAGCATTTGGTGGAGCAAACCTACTTTCCTTCTGACAACTGGAAAGCAGACAGAGGAAAGAAGGGGGACCTGATAACCCTTGAAAGGGTAGTCCCCAACCACCTGCCTTCCTTCCATGAGGCGCCAGCTCTTAAACGTCCCATCACCTCCCATGAGCACCATTGGCTGGCAACCATGCCTTTAGCATATGGGCCTTTGGGAGTACTTTAAGACTCAAACCACAATAGTAGCACATAAATTTTACTCATTCTTTGAAAAGATTAACTGTATCAAATACATCATTTGTGATTGGCCTTGCTTTAGTTGGCCTAAAGATATAGCAAGAAAATAAAATTCAAGCTCAGTTTCTCTTGCTGTGCTCACACAGCATCAGTCATTTCTGATACTAGATATAGGACCATTTTCCCTGAAACTGCACCCACAGTCAGTTCTGCAATGGATGCCAGTCAGGTGCCCTCTAACCCAGCTCTCTTGACACCATTGACCTGGAGATTGCATCAGATCCCATAGGTGAAGGGGTTATTTCACCTGTGCTTCTGGCCAACTGACTTTAAATTCAGGTTTGCCGTACTCACATGTTGATTTTCTGGAGTAGCTTGCAGAATTTGGGGAAACACATTTCACTTTTACAAATATTGGAACAAAGAATTCTGGGAAGAGCCACAATGGGGCAAAATGTAAGGCAACAATGTGGGGCCTGTGTGCCTGCTCAGAGGCCACCCTGCACGAGCCTCGTGTCCAGCGACCAGAACCTTGGCTGTTTCTCTGGGACTTTGTAGTAGATGCTGGTAGATGGGTGCGGAAACCCAGCCAGGCCCCACTCTTTGACATTTCTTCCTCCTTGTTGTGAGTCAGGCCACTTCTAAAATGGGAGTCTCACCCTTTACTGTCAGACACAGTGGTCAGAAAAGGTGGGGAAGAGTAGAGGGAAGATAGACTCTAATTTCCATAGCCTACTGTGAGGAGGAAGGTATGAGCCGGCAGTCTTAGACAAAACCCCCAAAATACACGTTAGAATTGGTGATGTGGTTTTATGGTAATCAGTGTATAGAGAACCTGTCACTGTGTTAATGGATTTATTCAATTCTGTTACAGTTTTCATGTGTATTCTTCCCTGCTGGTAATCATTTAAGTTGTAATAAGAATCCTTTATTTCTATATTTTTGCCTATTTGGCCAATCCTATTTGGATTCTGTAGGATATAGGAAATAGAACTTTTAGATCAAAGGTATGACTGTTTTATATTTTAATGGCCATTTGGGGCTCTATAAAATATATCAACATTCTGGTTTTTATAGGAAATAGTCTAAGTTCTAAACTTTCAGAAGTTTAGCAAGGTAACATACAGTAATCACTTTTTCTTAATAGAAATTTTCTGGTCCTTTAAAAATCTTTAAAATGATGCTTTCGAACTTTTTATTCTTACAGTGGTGGAATGGGGGGAAGATGTTAAAGCGATTTCGAAAGATGAAGCCGTGATGTTGGTGAACCATCAGTCCACGGGAGACGTGTGCACACTGATGATGTGCCTGCAGGACAAGGGGATGGTGAGGCCACATCAGGGGGAGGAGGGAGGGCCGGGCTTGGGCTCAGCATGCGTCTCTCTCCTGAATGCTTACAAAATACTAGGCAAGAATGTGCAATTCTAAGCTGTTCTAGGAGGCGGATTTAGAGACTTAAAAAAATAAGTAACTGGCACATCATGAAATCTATCTCATTAAACTTTTTAAAAATAATAACTGAAATGAAAACAAAGTTAATATAGTTCAAATCAAAGGCTGTCTTGAGCTGAAGTGGATGGTTGCCTGTTTAAGAAGTATAAAGACACAAAAATACTGTTGAAAATAGGAGAGTGAAATTAATTAGTGAATTAGGCAGTTTTGTAAATCTTTAGCCAAAAGAAAACAGTGTCTGTTATTTTGGATTTCATTACAGTGGGAATTGAAAGAAAAGATATTAGGAGGGGCCGGGGATTTAGCTCAGTGGCATAAGTACCTGCCCGACAAGCATGAGGTCGTGAGGTCATGAGTTCGATCTAGTACCACAAAAAAAAAAAAAGGAAAAAGAAAGGATATTAGGCTTGTTTTATCCACTATTACTAAAACTGTGTCTGAACATTTGATCTTAGATGCTTGTATCAAAAATTAAAATGTCATGACATAAAGTAGATGTAAAGTATAAATTTGGTCTTTAGCACCTGTCCCAGGTTACAGGTAAACTAACCCTCGAGAGCCAGAGCGGTGGGGACAAGGCCAGGTTTTGTGTTGATTCTGGGAGCCCTGTGAATTTCTCCTGCAGAAGTCACTGAACTATTTCACCTCTTATCAGTGGTGCACAGTGTTTTCATATGAAAAGCAGGATACTTCTTAACAGTAATTCATTATATTGCAAGACATTCTGAAATTTTAAAAAATGCAAAAAAATTCAATCTTAATCTCTAAAAAGTTACTTAGATGTTATGAAATTTCTTCAGAGAAAACTAAATGAATAGTGTTTAAAATTAGCTAAGTTAATATTTATCCCAATAATAAGTAACAAGTCAGTAGGAATTCACTAAGTGTTTAATTGTTGAGTTCAGTGAGGGCAGGAAGTATGGACGCGCGCGTTGCAAGGGTTCCTGGGCACTGTGGAGAGAAGCGTCCAAGCAGTCCCTGCTGCAGACAGGAGGGTTTTATTGGAGGATGCCATGAGTTCACGGTGTACCTGACAGGCATAGAAACCGCACAGAGGAAGTACATGAACTGGGCCTTAAGCGTAAAGGATAATTAGAGTTCAGTTCAAAGTTGAATCAAGGGCCTTCTTCCTCAGTGAAACCACCTTGGCAAAAAATCAGAGTTGCCAAGAAGCCTATTTTATTCATTAGGTCCTAGCAGTTTTGACTCAGTAGGTCAGGACAGTGTCACAAAATGAAATGAGATTGAAGGAAACCATGGGGACTAGGAATGTGACCCAGTATTAGAGGTCTCGCCTGGCACACGAAGGCCATGAGTTCCATCCCCAGCACCGCAAAATTAAATAAGTAAATAAGTGGTATAGAATCTGTTTTTCTTATCTGAAAAGCATAGGTGTAATCTTTCCAGAATGTAAAATAAATTCAGTCCTTTCTTACATTCAGAATTTTCATTGTAGAATACTACTGTGTAAATACATTGCATTTATGATAATATTTACTGCTCACTCCTTAAATTCATGATGTTAAAACTTCGTAAAAACTACTTTAGGCTGGGCATGGTGATGCACGCCTGAAATCCAAACACTCAGGAGGCCGGGGCAGGAGAATCGTTGAGACCAGCCTGGGTTACAAAGTGAGCTCAAGGCCAACCTGAACTGTATGGCGAGACCCTGTCTCAATCAAGGCAAAAAAACCCCACCCAAAAACAGGAATATGAAACATAGGATACATTGCTATTTTCAGACTTTGCTATTTTGTTTTGTTTTGTTTTTTTGGTACTGGAGATCAAACTCATGACCTCACCCTTGCCAGGCAGGCAATAAGCCACTGAGCTAAATTCCTGGCCCACATCTGGTATTTTTTAATGAGTGCTTGCGAAGTAAGAAGTCTTGTCATTTTATGACAGCTCCTGATAAAACTAAGAATCTTTATTTCTTTAAAGAGAATTTTTGTTAAATATTTAACAATCGTTTATTGATTTATAACATTTCCCCTAAAATAAGTTAGGTCAGAATTATCATACAAATATCAGAATACAGCTTGGCTATCTTCCTGAATTCATTACTTGTTTTAGGTGAGTCTTCTAACTAAAGAGGTAAAACTGTATCCATAGAAGATTAAACATAAAAGCCAATTATTTTGATGCTGGTATTTTAAACCCAGAGACCAATAAATTGCAGCTACATTTCATACTATATATAAAGTTGAAAAGTTTTATAGGTAGAATCTATTTTTTTTTTTTGTTTCTTGGTCACTTTGCAACAAATTCTTTTAGCTTACATCTGGACTTATTTAAACAAAGTTATCATTGCAAAACAAAAAGGAAAGAGAATGTGCTGGTGATTACTTGTATTAACTTACACTGGGCACAGATCTTCAGTTTTTTTTTTTAAAGTGACTTATTTTAATATCTACTGGAGTTCTTTCACTGAAAACTTGAGGCGGAAGCTGTACAGATGGGTTTTATAACGCTTTTGTAAAAGCTGCCCATGTGTCAGCTGAGTGTCAGTGCTGTTTTTTACATCACCTGGTGCTTGGAGGGATATTTATGATATGATTCCCACAGGAAACCAAAGAAGAGCTCAGTGCATTCTACACTCTTGTGTTTATTTAAGGCTTATGGCAAGGAATGCTGTTTCCTCAGCAGGGAAAGAGCAATTAACCAACTCATTAATTAGGGGTGGTTTACACTTACTTTTCATTTTTAAATTTGCTGGAAATGAAGTTTTCTCCTCTCAGTTTGAGAATTAACTCTTGTCAGCAGTGTTTAATATTTTTATGATTAACAACTGAGGAAGTTTAAATGTTTTTATGCTGACAAAGAATATGACTGCATAAATTAATGAGTTTTTCATAATATAATAGAATGTATAAATCATTCTGTTAAATTATCTTTAAAATGTTCTTAGTTTGGATATTAATTTTTTTATACTTTAGACATTAATGTATGCTCATATTTTATAAAGCTTTAATGCTTATTAATTGCATGTATAGTCCTAACTTGTTAACTTGAACCATTTTATTGCACTGATTCAAAATAATTTTACAAGGTATATAAGAATTGCCATATAACTCAGTGGCGTAGTACCCATCAGGCAAGCATAAGGCCCTGAGTTCGATTGCTGGTATTTAAAAAAAAAAAAGAATTTACAAAGACCATAGTTAAGGTAGAACAGATTTGAAATCATTAAATCTAAATCCAAATTTAAGAAGTTAATTCAGCTTCATTTGTTTTGGTACCGGGAAAGAACTCAGGGCCTCATGCTTGCCAGGCAGGTACTGTGCTGCTGAGCTATATTCCCCACCCACAGCCTCATTTGTTACACAGTATGTCTGTGAAAATACAGACACATCTCATACATGCACACATACACACACGTGTATTAATATATATAATAACATATATAATGAATGAGACTTAGGATCCCAACACTTGAAATTAAGCCGTGTATGCTATTAGTAATCATCTTGTAAATGTAGAAAGAGCATTAGACTTAAAATATTTAAAATATACCTGATTATATTAAGAATATACCTGGTTAATTATATTTAAAACTTGGAAGACTTGGCTAAACTATAGTCAGATGGCTTTTACTTACTTAGCTTTTGCTTTTAAATACTCTAGGTTGTTGCTCAGATGATGTGGTTGATGGATCATATTTTTAAGTATACAAACTTCGGAATTGTTTCACTAATCCATGGAGACTTCTTTATAAGGCAGGTAAGTGATGAGCAATCATTTTCATGGTGACAGCCGTGCCACCCCATTCCTTCAGAGGATTAACTGGCGATGGGGAGGACAGCCAGCTCCGGAGGGTGGAGGAGCTTTTGCTCCGAGCTTTCATTCCCTAAACGTTTCCTTCAGTCCACATTGGAGGGTACGGCAGTAGAAAGGTGCTTATTCCAATCTCTCCTCTTCTTGGGAGGTATAGCTGAGTGAACGTTAACTCACATCTGCCACATTGCTTTCTTCTTCTTCCTAGAGAGGTGAATGGGACAAATTTTGGACGTGCTCAAAGTTCCAGGTTTTTCAAATGAAAATAATAGTAACCCCTCTCGAACAGTTGCAAGGATTAATTAATACACATGAAATATTCAGAGCAGCCCTTGGGACCTTCACTATCATTTTTGTTATGGTCATCACTATCACTACCTATATTACCTCTAGCATTTTTATTTTTTGGGCTTTGTTATATGATACAGAAAATACCTTAGTAACAAGTAGGGAGGTAAATTAATTAACATTAATAAGAAGAAATGTGGGTATGCACGGTAGGAAAAGAGTATGTCTGAGTTCTGTGAAATGAGGAAAACATTACCAGAGAAAGTGGTATTTTGACCTAAATTCTTTTTTTTTTTTTTTAATCAATACTGGGGATCAAACTCACGGCCACACGCTTGCAAGGCAGGTGCTTATGCCACTGAGCTAAATCCCCAGCCCCTTGACCTAAATTCTACAGAGTAGGTATGGATTTGATGGACGAATGGATTGGGAAGGGTCTGAAGCATAAGGCATGATTTAGTGTAGGAAGAAGAATCGTAGTCAGCCTAGGGTGCTAATGGTGTTGTATGCTTCATTTTCTTCTAATGGAAACCCAAAATACAGTATAGAAGCATTTTTATGTGTGGTAATGCCACATTTACCTAGTGTTTGTGTTAGCAGTTTAACCTGGATTGTGTGCTTTGCACGTACTTAATGTAGAGTTGGCAAATTAAGTGAAACATCTTCTCTTTTTTTTGGTCTTTTTCCTTTTTATTGGTACCAGGGATCGAACTCACGACTGCCTGCTTGTAAGGCAGGCGCTTATGCTGCTGAGCTAAATCCCTAGCCCCAAGTGAAGCATCTTCTAAGCAGCATAAATTTAGAGATAAGCTGGAAATGATTACAAAACTTCTAAGCTGTGTGAAATTAGGTCTCACAAACATGCCAGCTTTGTCCACACAGTTTTATGTATATGCTTTTGTTTGCATGCTCTGCGATTCTCTTATTTCTTCTGGACACATTCTTGCTGATGTCCTAGACAGATAGACAAACAGCAGCATGGGCTGGGGCCTCAGGAGGAAATGGTGATGGGGATTGGCCACCAGGTCGAGACACTAAGTGAACAGTGATCAGAGCGACTTAATGATGACATGAGCCCTGTGCCTCAGAGAAAGCGACTGAACGGACAGAAGCGTAGCCGGTGAGAGGGGTCAAAAAGAAAAGCTCGCCGAGTCCTTGCTTGCTGCCTGAGGTCTGGTCTCTAGTGCATGGAGCAGTTGATCCTAATGATGAGCCTCAGTTATCAAGACGAAGCCAGTATACTTTATGGGGGCAGAGTGAAAAGCTATCGACTCTGGTGTGTTTTCCTAGTTACTGCGATGTAAATTTTACACACATAAAGACTTATTTTTCAAGATACCCGAGTGATTTGTGGATTGTTTCTCAAGAGCAACATCTGCCCTCAGAGCTTAGTAGTGACGATCTAGGACATGAGGCAAAGTGAGGATGGAATAGAAAAAGTATTAATGTCTTAAAAAAATCTTCTGGACTTTGCTGCTAGACCAATTTTTGAAAAGATCTTCCAAGAATAGTAAAAATATTTCACATATAGCCTTAAAAGCTGTCTTAATCAGTTGAATTTAGTGAACTAGCTAAGAAAAAGTCTTCCTTGTTTTACATTCAGGGTATATTTAATCTGAAGAATGGAAGTATACTAATTATTTTGAGGCACTTCTACAATTGTGTTGGTTGAAACTGTTAAAAAAAAATTAGTAATCTGAGAGGAAGAACCTTTATGAACTTTGGCTGTAGCTTTGGGCCTTCCTGCAAACTTTTCTGGATCCTGGTTTTCAGTCTTTACGCCAGCCCGTTTCCTTTCTTTGCTCGAAGCTCGGATCCAGCCCATCGCAGTGCCTGGTTCCTTTAGCTTTCATGGCTTTCCCTACTGCAGCTGCATCTCCCTAGGACCCCACAGCTGACTCACCCAGCTCCCTTGATGGCCATTGCCATTGCCCCCGACTTACCTTCTGTAGTTCTCCTGTGGGAGGAGCTAGTGGGTTTTTCAAATGTGAACATTATGACACTTTGTTGTTGAGAGCTATCCAGTAATTTCTTGTCCAAAACTACCCATGTACAAAGTTCTTCTGTTTTCTTTTTTTGGTACCAGGGATCAAACTTATGACCACACGCTTGCAAGGCAGGTACTTATATCACTGAGCTAAATCCCTGGCCCTGCCCAAACTTCTTTTGATGTGGTCTCTGCCTTCTCTCAGTGCTTTCTGATCACTGACACCTGCCACGCTGGCCTTGTACTCTTATTTGAATGTGCCAAGCTTGTTCCCATCTCTGGGCCTTTGCCCATTTGTTCCTGTCACTTATAATCTGACTTTTTTCTCTCACAGATGTCACTTGGTCAGTGCAGTTTAGGGAACTGCACCCAGGGCCTTCACGTTGAACTATATCCCTGGCTTTTTTCATATTTTTTTTTTATTTTGAGATGATCTTGTCATGTTGCCCAGACTGAGCCCACACTTGCTGTCCTCCTGCCTCAGCCTCCCAAGAGTGCTGGGCTTATAGGTGTGTGTCTGGACAGCTGACTTCCTTCCTAATACATAGCTCCTGTTGAGTTTGTGCTCCATGTTTATCACTTGCCAGGCTAGGATAGCAGCGCTTGGAGGACCTCCTGTTACTCTGCTGTCTCTAGAGTGTGGGGCAGTGCTTGGTAATTATCACTGCTCATTGCATAGTCATTGAATTGAAATGATTGTACTTGCCAGGCCATCACAGCAACTTGTGTCCTTCAGAAAAAAAAGTTTGTCTAAGTGGTACTAGCATCTGAGTTCTGTAAATGGATTTTAATTTAGAAGTGGTTATTACTGTATTTGAGTTGGGTTTGGCTTTTTTGAGACAGAGTTGCTTTTTAGTGCAGGCTGCCCTTGAACTCACTGCCCACCCCACGCTGGTCTCAGACCTGCAGAGATCTTCCGACCTTAGCCTCTCTGGTATGGGATTACAGGTGTGCACCAATATCCCAGTTATTATCATTGGTAATCTTACTGCCGATTTTTATTTCCTGTGTACCTGTCCTGACTGTGTGTCTAACTTCTAGGGAAAATCTCATCGTGACCAACAGCTGGTGCTTCTCAAGAAGCACCTGGAAAATAATTACAGAAGCAGAGATCGAAAATGGATTGTTTTGTTCCCGGAAGGGGGCTTTCTCAGGAAGAGAAGAGAAACAAGTCAGGCATTTGCCAAGAAAAATAACTTGCCATTTCTTACACATGTTACCTTGCCAAGGGTTGGGGCAACACAAATTATTTTGAGTGCACTTGTAGCACGACAGGAAAATGGAAGTCCAGCAGGAGGAGATGCAAAAGAACTAGGTATGACGGTTTTTAACGTTTGTTTGTTCTAAATGAAAGGTAAATTTTTGTTCTTTTTTTATAGTTTTGTTAGAACTAACATTCCGGGAAAAGATGAAACTAAAATTTTTTAATTTATCATTTATCAAAATTTTTTTTTGCTTTTAACACAGAAAATAATTTAGCTTGGCTATATTTAGTAAGACTCTTAACATGTTAATAAATGATCCTGTTATTCATTCACAAATGATATTGTCAGAGGATAATAGTCTGTAGTATAGGCTGAGAAACTTACTGTAGCATCGTTTATAACAACAAAAAATTAGTAACAGTGAAAAGAGAGAATGGATAAATCATTACCAGATATCCAGACAGCAGGCTACAGCACAGCTGCTGTTGGTGGGGCAGAGTGCTGTGCTGTGCCGGTCGCAGGGCAGGGCCCAACAGCCTGGGTGAAAACTGTACGAGCTCAAGTCTGTGCGTGGAAGCCCCAGGGTACAAGCCCGGGGGAGAACCCGAGTGTGAGCAGTGACAGTTCCTTTGAGTTGTAACACGAGTGGTTGCCTCTGTTTCTTAATGCTGTTGTGAATCGTCCAGTTCCTTAAATGATAAGTGTGTGTTACCTTTATAGCTGGGAGAAAGTAAGCCACACTCAAAGGTACAGCTTTCCCGAGAGGGCTTAGTGAGAAGACAGAAGAGCCTCACTAGACCTGTTTCCTTATTCACATTTTGCTATTTTAATATTTTCAAACTAAGGAAAATTGAAAGGAGTGGCTCTCAACTGTGCTTGTAAACAGTAAAAAGAACAGAAGGGGAGATGTAGCCCGGGAGGCTGCACCGTGTCTTCCTTTCATTGTTTCTTTCAAGCAACTGCTCGACTAGCTTCCATGCCCTTTCCTCATCTACTTAAAAGAAAAATTGAGTCTTTTAGTAGAAAAGGAAAGTTGTGAGTCGCTGCAGTCTACAAAGATACCACCGGAGCAGTGTGGCCGAGCCACACAGGGCTCCTCCAGCGCTCCTGGTGGAGAGAGCAGTGGCTGAAGCCGTCTGCCTTTGACCTGCCTCCTTCACTCTGGCCGTGTCATGGAGATTGTCAGCATATATGGGAACCCGTTTGTCCTGTGCTTTACTGATTTTCTTCTCTAGGGTTTCATATTTTACACTTTAGTTCCTTTAGAATTCAGACTCACCAGCATTTTACCCCTGTGGAACACAAGTCGTGCCCGTGTGGTTGTTTTGGGATGCATACACTTATCAAGGTTAAGTTCTGTTTGATTAACCTCAATAGTGTTGGTATCTTTTTATGTTTGCATTATGATCTAGCAGGTACTAAACTGAACCATTGTGATTCCTTCTCCCATCGTTCATTATGAAACTTTCAAACTTACATGAATATTGAAAGAATTTTACAGCAGTATCAATGAGCTGATCAACTAGTTTCTGTAACACTTTATATTTTCTCATACTATCATATCTTTTCTGTGGAAGATCTTCTATCTACTTCTCCATCATCTTTGAATTTTAATGCATCTCAAAATAGTATACTTCACTCCTAAACATTTCTGCATATATATCATTGATATCTTGTTAAACTCTGCCCCTTAAATACTGCAATTTTTTTAAAGTAATTTTTTTAAAAGCTGGATATGGCTTTAAAGCTGGATGTGGCTTTACAAGCTACATGTTTGTAACCTCAGTAGTTGGGCATTGGAGGCAGGAGGATCACCATATTCCAGCCGTCCCGGAACATGCTAAGACCCTGTCTCAATAAATGAATGAGTGAGTGAGTGGTATTTTTTTGAAATTTACTTTCACAGATTTTTTTCTTCCCTTCAGAATGGTATTCTAACGTCCTTAAAGAAATTAAGGCTAGTGTTTAAGTACTTGACAAGCAAAGGTATTTTACTGTTGATTCCTAATGTGAATTTTGACTTAGGCTTGAAAGTGAGTTACTTGTTTTTAGGAACCTCCTAGATGCTTGGAGCACAGAATAGCCTGTTACTCTTTCGAGTGGCTATCATCGTTCTCCGTGAGGATTCTTTTTTCAGTTTTTGCCTAACATTTTCCTGTGTGCTGGGAACAAATCCCATGCACAAAGGATGAAGCTAAATAAACTCTGCTCCTCTTTACAGCAGTAGTTCCTTGTGTTGCCTTCCAAAGGACAGAAAGACTTACTGTTTCACTTGTGTGTAACTTGCTGGAACTGGGAGTTTCTTGCTTTTCAAACAAGAGGAGGAACTGAAAAAAAAATGTCTAAAAGATGCTTAATTTTACCACCATGTTCCAGTATGTATTAATGTTTCCCAAATACTACAGATCTTTGTGTTAGTATTATGTTTAGTGAATGTTCTGGTTTTGCTTTGAAGTCTATTTTTTCTTTTTGTGATGTAATGTTTAGCTTTTGATCTTTTCATAGGCCTATTTTTATAGGAAGATAAAATATAAATTAGACCTTGACAGCACATAGCTGTGCTGAATACTGAATGCTCTGTATTCAGTAAGAAATAGTGCTCTGTCATTTGAGTTGAAATCCAGCCATTTTATGACAGACTGAGAAATCCCTGATCCCCTCCTAAATACATTATGGGACCCAAGCACATAGTTCATCTTGCTCTCTTCACAGTAGAAGGTACATTGGTAAGCTTTACACTGTTCAAGTCACGTGTACTGTGTTGTTGCATGGAAGAATTGATCAACTTTAAGCCATTTTGTTTTTTGTTTTCAGAGAATAAATCACAAGGCCTCCAGTGGATAATAGATACAACCATAGCTTACCCCAAAGGTGAGCTGTTAGATATTCAAACCTGGATCCTCGGATACAGGAAACCAACAGTCACACATGTACATTACAGGTGAGAATTCTACATTAGAACTTATTTGTGCCCAGCCACCTACCTCAGGACAGTGTGCATGTTTTAATGCTTAATTTTTAATCTGACAGTGAAAATAGTTGGCGTGATTTGTATTTGCACGGAATAAAAAATCATTCTCGTGTAGAATTTTTAGTGTGAAAGTATCATTTGTAGTAGCTATTGTCACTGAGAAGGATCTCTAAAAGTGACATTCTAGAGGCACTATGATTATTTGATTGCCTGACTCCTTTGAATAAAAGTAACTAAAAGGCAAACATCATAGATAATACTTACTTGGGGTAAGTAGATGTGTATTAATAGAAATGGAATTTGCTTTGATAATTATAAATCTCCCATAAGAGTTTCTGAGTGATTAGATTGATAACTTAGAAATTTTTAGTATTTTAATATATCTGTCTTACATAAGCAACAGCAAAACATTTATTGAGCATCTGTTCAATGCGAGGTCTTTGAGATTTTTTTAATGTAGTGTTAGGGAACGTGGCTCTTGTCAGTGTGTGAATATATCTCTATCAAAGCATGGCATGATTAGGCCTGTATAGATTTGATCACAAATTTGGCTGTTTAGCTTGCTCTGTTTCCTAGTGAAAGATGGCAGGTGTCTTACAAATGTGAGGAATTGGTCCACTTTCTCACTTTTTATTTTAACCAATAATTTATAAATAATCAGAGAATATAATCATAAGGAATCTTAGAAACTGAAGAATTAGTGAATTTTTTGCAAAATTACTTTACCAGAAACAAAAATAAACTCTTAAAAGTCACTTAAGTAGAGGTGCTTAACCATGGGCCTCACGGGTGGACCTCAAGAATTTTTTATCCAAATCGATATATAAACTTTTATGTTTGGTAGCTTTTTTACAGAGACGTTCATAACTTTCACTCTCAAAATATTCATGACAAAAAGATTAAAAACTCCTGACTTAAAAAAAGAGAAAAAAAAACTCCTGACTTAGAGATCAAGAACAAATTACAGATGAGAAATACTTAGTTCGATTCAGACAAATACTTCTATTTATGAAAATGAAACTTTTCAGAAATACGTTTCCTTATAAAAAACTTTATTACCAAACATAGAATAACAAAGAAAAGTTCATTGGGTTAAACTAATGGAAATTAAATTATAATTTAGAATCTTAATCCAAAATACTCTTTAAAGCCAAGCATGGTGGTGCACATCTGTAATCCCAGCACTCAGTAGGCTGAGGCCAGAGGATCATTGTGAATTCAAGGCCAGCCTGGGCTATGTAGCAAGACCTTGTTTCAAAAGTCAAAAACAAAAACAAAATACTCATCAAAATATACATTATGCCTGGTTACGTATAGGTACTCATTCGTGTCTACCTATAGGAGTCCTGGACACGGGAGGAGACTTCCCGGAATTTTCAGTAGAGACCCTTGTCTGGCCAGTGTTAGGGAAGACGAAGGACCTGCATTCAGGTAGGAAGAGGGGAGCACAGGAGCACAGAGGTGGCCTGGTGTAAGAGCCAGCAGGGAACAAAGGCCATGTGCTTAGTGTGGACAGGCCAGCACCTCTGCAGGGTCAGGGCATCAGAGAGATGGAGAAGGAATGCCTGGTCTTAGTTCTGACTTGGTGTTTGTTTGACTATATTTTTAATTTTTTTTAAAATTTTATTTAAGGAGAAAAAGAAAAAAAGCAGAAAAAGGGTACAAGTTATACAGAATTTCAGAAAAAAAATAAACAGTAGGAAATCACTAGTTAATGGATTACATATTGTCATCTTAGAAATATTTGTTCAAGTTACAAAATTAAAGCTTATATAGTGGACATTCAAACAGTGAGACCAAACAGTTCTGTTCAATGATCCAACAAAATTCAGTAATATCATTGTCTATCTTATACACTTAAATATACATGCAGTTATATCATCTAGAGCACTTTCTTTTCCTCTCTTTGTACAATGACTATTACACATTTTGGGTTTTATTGCTCCCACAGTTCTTATTACTTTTTTTGGAAGAGAGTAAAACCAAATGTGACATAACAGAACAGAGTCGGTCAAATCAAAAGGGTGGACATAATAGATAATGCAAAAACATAATACAAGGTGATCAACAATGGTTACCAATGAATAGAGTTGCCTATATCATCAGTTATAATAAAATTGAACAAAACAGTAAAGAATGAAACCAACAAAACTAAAACATTGGAGACATTACAGGTCTTCAAAAGTAGATAATAGTCAACCAGAATGGGCGTCATAATGAATCCCACTATCATCACAGCTGTTGCCTAAACTTTCGAACCTGGTACTATCAAGCAAAACAGAATAGAGGAACTTCAGTCAAAACAAGATGGTGAAAGCAATACAGGGCTTCAAATCAAGTTAATAGTAAATCAAAGTGGGTTACTATAATATATCCTACTATTTTAAAATTTATTTTTCCCTTAATTAAAAGGATAAAAATAAAAAAGTAAATAATGAAATGGAGATTGAGATAAAAGAGGGGATAACAACAAAACAGTGCAGATCAAAACATAACCATTTAAGCAAAATAGTGTTTCACCACAAGATAATCCCGACATAAAAGTAGTTACCATATTGTCTCTTTCCTTGAAATCTTTGACTATAACTTCATATACTGTAGCATCAAATATATCAAAACAATGTAAAACCATTCAAGAGAATGACAGTATTACAGGGTATTTAGAATCAACTAACAGAAAATGAACAATGGTTTCTGTATAATCTCCTTGTCTATAAAAGTTTTTGTTTATACTATCACATATAATAAGATCCAATAAGATACAACATGTTAAGACCAATGGAGACAGAAGAATAAAAGCTTGATGAGACTTCAAAACAAGATGATACTAAATCAGCATTACCTATTATGACGTTGTTTTCTCCAAAATAGCTGTCTGTCATTAGTTGTCAGTTTGTCTTCTTCATTTTGTTTTCTGCTCCATTCATTGTGGCCTCTCTGCCGCTATTGCTGGATTCTTCGTATTTTTCTTTTTTAGAATATCCTGCAGTATTCTCTGTAGAGTTGAATTGGTGGTTGCATATTCCCCTAGTTCCTTTTTATCCTGGAAGCACCTTGTTTTTCCATCAATTTCCAGGGATAGTTGTGCAGGATATATCAATCTTGGCTGGAGGTTATCTTTCAAAGCTTGAATTATTTCCCCCCACGCTCTTCGTGATTTGATGGTTTGTGCTGAGAAGTCTGCTGTAATTCTGATGGGTGTTCCCTTGTAAGTGATCCTTTTCTTGTCTCTGATGGCTTTTAATATTCTGTTCTTATATTGGATTTCTGGTATTTTGATTATTATATGCCTGGGTGTAGCTCTGTTTGGGTTGTAGGTGGCTGGGGTCCTGAATGCTTCATATATCTGAGTATCTTTACCTTTTGCTAAATTAGGAAAATTCTCGTGGATTATTTCTGCGAATAGCTTTTGTAGTTCATTTGTTTGTGTCCCTACCTCTTCTTTTATGTTCTTAATTCTTAAGTTATAGATCCTCTGTATTATTGCTGTTTGTTTCTTTGTTATTTTTAAGAAGTTTTTCATTTCATTCTCCCATATTACAAATCTGGCCTCCAGTTCAGATAATCTGTCCTTAGTTTCTTTTAAGCTGTTATGCCAGTTTTCGATAAGAGTTTTTAGTTTCTTGGTAATCTCTTTGAACCTGCTTCACGTATTCTATGCTTTCTCTATTTTCTCCATCAAACAATTCTCCCCTCTTTTTCTGTTCTTCCATTCCACCATCTGTTTTTTCTTGGGTGGTGGTTAGCATTTCTCTAACTATTCTGCTTATGTCTAGCTTCAGGTCATTAATAACTTCATTCCTGAACTTGTCTATGAGGCTCTGGAGATAGTGCTTTATATCTATTGGTGCTGTGTCTGCTGTTGCCTCTTTCTCAGGATTGGGGGCCGAGGACCCTTTCTTGTTGCTGCCTCTTCGCATATTCTGTGTTCCTTATATATGCAAGCATATATAGGAGGCCCAGCTTCCTTCCCTGTTGGCCACAGTCAGTTTGAATTGCGCCGGTTAGGTGTTCCCGCCCACCACAGCGCACCAGGGAGTTACGGACCTGGCAGCCTATGCAAGGCCTGCCCCTCCAGGTCACCTTCAGGAGCTGGGACCTGGGTTGTGCTAGCCTACTGGGTCTCAGCCAGCAGCGTCACATAAGCTAGGCACTGCTCACCACTCCCGCTTTTGAGGGGGGATATGTGACTGAAGTCACTACAGCGCCCTGTTCCGGCAAGTCTGCCCAGCCCCAGAATGGCCTCTGTTGGAGCCTCTTAGACTGTGAAAGAGTCCCAGTTTCTCTCACTCACCATAGGTCGATGCACGGCTCCCCACCCATCCCGCTCTCAACTCCGTTCACTGATTCCCGTTCTCAAAGCTTTTGCACATCTCTCTCCCTGCCAAGCTGATTCAGACGCAGCCGTGGCAGCAGGAAACCCAAATCGTGGCTTCCAATGGCGCCGGCTCCAGCTTGCATGCTGAGGCTTTATCTGTTCCTGGTATAGCACCAGGATTGCATTCCCAGTTGGTTTCTCTCAGCCCAGTTCATTCTTGGGTCAGCAGGGCATATCTCCTCTTGCTTAGGATTCCTCACTCCGTACCATTCCTGGATTCTAAGCTGGGTCTCTCAGAGAGCCTCCGTAGCTGCTGCTATCTGTCCGCCATGTTCTCCCGGAAGTCCCATTTTAAAATTTTTAAACGATGTTTCTGATTAAAATAGAAGTCTTTAAACAACACTAGAAATAGTAAGAGTGAGAGAGAGAGTGTGTGTGTGTGTGTGTGGTGTAAATAGCTAGGGCTAGATCCCTCTCACTCTTAATGTGAGGAGGTTGGCAAGAAAAACTGAACCGAGTCAGCTGCTTCAGGTGGGGAATGATTGTTGTCTGGAAAGTGTAAAGAGCTTGGAAAACAGTTTTGCTTACTGTTGCCTTATCTTCACCTATAGACAAATTTGAAAACTATTTATGAGTGAATATTTTCCTGCAGTTAATCACCGTTCATTACTGTGTTATTCTTAAGAACAATAGCCAACTTTTAAAAAATACTACTGCGCTCATTCCTAAGGAATTTAACTGAAGTGGTCAGTACTGACTATGGTATAGATAGACAAGTTAGTACTGTTGCTTATTTTCTCAATCTAGCCTTGAAGAATATGACATATTGGAGTCATCAAATAATTACCCCAATCTGTTCAGCCTAACGTCCCCTTAGAATATGTCATGTATTTTAATTTCCCCATTAAAAGATACGGCTGGTAGGACATTGTCATGAAGTGAGCTACATGGACCCTAGAACACTCTTGCAGTTTAAAAGGTAATCACTTTAGATCAGACCAGAGCATCTTTGGAGGGCAGTAATTAAGTCAAGCACGATTCTAAGAGCGTTGAATCTGTAGTAGTAAGTTTCTGTGTGTTTGATCAGCTTGGGGCCTGTTTTAGATAAGTTTTGTGGACTTCCAGTCCTAGCAGGACACCTTGGTGCCCGCTGGGGGCCTCAGACGCACCTGGGATGGCTGGTGTTCTGTTCTTTACCTCAGGGCCACCCAGGAAGCAGCACAGCTGGTGTCATTTATATACTTCACATTCTTGAGTGGCTGGAGCATTTTAAATTTCCATAATATTTTTCTTTTCTCTTAGAAATTATAGTCAAAGTTACACAGTAAGTTGCACTAACGGCTCCATACCTCGCTGAAACAAACATAATATGACACAGAGGTTCCTGAGCAAAAGTGATACTTTCTCTACAGTGACTGCCCTTGTTAATTATGTTTTTCAAAAACATTTTTTAAGCAATAAAAAGAATACTGTATCTAGATAACTAGCATGTGCAACAGTGTTTTTGCAGGTTCTAGATTCCTGTACTGGGTGCTTAGGAAAAAGCACAAAACTATAGTCACTTTTTTCAGCTGCTTGAATTCACTTCTTGATTCTTTGCCCTATGCTGACTTTCAGGATTTCTGCAGATATGAACCCTGAACATACATGTTATATATAAAATACAAATGTTAAAATAACACGTAGAAGAGAAAGTAAACGTTTGTGACAGAATTATAAACTAGGTCCTTTCTTAAAAAGCAGTTGGTGGTATCACCATTTAAAATCGGAACTTTCAGGAGGTGTTGGAGCTCAGTCCATAGAGAACTTGGGGCAAACAGAGATTACGCACCCAGACCGTTCAGCTAGTGAGCCCCGTGGTCGCAGGGCTCTGAGGCGCCTGTCTCAGACTTCGGTGGTGAGGGGTTGCCCTGACTCTCATGACGGCGTTGTTGTGAGCACTAATCAGTGTTCTAGGGGGGGTAAATGTTTTAAAACTACAAATGCTTTACAGATACAAACTCTTCTTATTACCATATGTAAGCATCCAGCAATTATTGATAATGCAGTCTTTATAAATCAGCATTTACCGTATGTTGTGTCTCAGCTGCTTACATACAACTTGCAGAGAAAA